TTTTGCTCTTGTCATTTTTGCTGTTTTCCACCACCATGAATTATTACCTTTCTGCCATGCCACCCTTCTTTGGAGCCAGCTGATTATGGACTGAAACCTTCACAAACTGTGAGCTAAATAAACTTTTCCTTTCTTAACTTGTGGGTATCAAGTATTTTGTCTCAGCAATGAGAGAAAAGTAATAAAGACAGTGAGAGAAAAAGAGGAATAAAAGAAGTCTAGTCTGAAGGCTGGAAGGATGGAGTTTCTTCTATTGGAATAGGGAAGGCTGCAGAGGAGCAGATTTCTGTGGTAGAAAAAGGATGTGGCAGCATATCAGAAATTCAGTTTTGGACATTTTAAGCTTGAGGTTCCTTCCCATATGCAGTAGAGTCTGGAACTCTGGTCCAGGCTGGAGTTTTCAGCCTATAGATACTATTTTAAGGTATTGGACGGGATGGTATCGCTCAGGGCCTGGGCAGATACAGGAAGCTGAGAACCTGAGATTCCCCAGAGCATAGAGAGGTTGGGGAATTATTTTGCTAATAAAATGATACAAAAGTCTAAGTCAGCCAGACATGCACACATCCAGCCTTGCAGGCCCATATTTTACTCCTGTCTCACAAGGTAGAAGTGAGCATTAAATCAGACAGTAGACATGAAGACACTCTGCAATGCTGAAAGACAGTGCTGGCATTTATTTGGTTCTTGTTATATGCTGGGCATTGCCAGGCACTCAGTTGCTTTACTTCCTGTGATCTTCATGATTGGCCTGCAGAACAGTTAGGATTGCTCGGAAGTCACGCCTCGAGAGGTCATATAAGTCATCCCTGTTTGCACAGTGAATAAATGGCAGAGGTGGGACACAGTGCCGGTCTATGTCGAGTTCTCTTGCTGTACCACGTAGCATACTTGGTTCATCACTCATACTTACCTGGTCATTTTCCAGGACCCCTCCCCAACACCCAGGAGTGTCCTTTCAGGACAGACCTGGGCTGATAGTCTTTGTTTTGCTCAAACCCAGAAAAGAATAAAAACCAGGAGGCAAGGTTGAGCTACATCCCCGGCCCTTTTTATTATTTCTTTAATTTTGAGACAGTCTTGCTATGTTACCCAGGCTAGCCTCAAAGTCACAATCTTTCAGCCCTCCAAGTAGCTGGGATTACAGGTGTGTGCTACTATACCTTGCCAGGCTCATAATTTTCAAAAACTACTCAGCAGTTCAAATGTGCAGTGGAGTCCAAGAATCACCACATTAGACTCATCCACTAGATTTGTAAGCATGCATGTGCCATTCTGTCCCAAAAATAATGCAGGATGAAATTTTGTCCACCAATTTGTTAGCAGAGTTGCCCATTAGTTTCAACTTGTTTTTGAAAATAAGAATTATGTGCTTATGAGTTGATATGTTTAAGTATTCAAAAAAGAAAACAAGAGATTAGAAAATTGTCCTTATTTCCAGAACAGACTTCTAGGGTTTTAAGTTCTTTCTTTCTCTAAAAGTCTTCTAAATGAGTTATTTTCTTTCCATTTTTATATCATTGAAGCCAAATGAAGGTGGGGAGTGGATTTTCAGATATTATCTACCCAAGGTGAACCTCAGAATCCTGACTCAGCCTTTGTAAGAGAGCTAAGTCTTAAGAGCAGGTAACTCTAATCTTTACTCCTCAAATCAAAGCTACCATGTTCTCATATGTCAGAAGTTTCTTCTAAAATGTTTATTCCCCATAAACACAGTCCCAGCAAGAGGAAAATTGCTACCAGAAGATGATTTAAGGTCACATTCATACATAAAAAAAAAGTATACCAAAAATAGCTAGCGTAAATTTGGGTCACACCTTACATTCACCATTTAACCACAATTAAGACATTTTGTAGAAATTCCACTGTCAGGTGATAGGATTATTGCTATAACATTCTAGGAAAAACTGAAATGTAAGTGGTAGAGGGGGGATTGGTGAGCGCTCGTGTCACACTCACAGTTTCTCTCCACCTCAAAATTAGAAAGATTCAAGTGCTTTTCTCCAGTTGCATAAAAAGACATCTAAAAATCTCTCTGCAATGCAGCAAGGATTTCCAGAACTAACCAGATGGGGCCAGTTCTGTGCTGGTGACCACATTAAATTTAGTCATAACCTTGTGTTTTTTTTTGTCACATGAAATTCTCATTCTCTTTTTAATGGTGTCACAGCTTGTGAGTGTGAACATTAGCCAGATTTTGTCTTTAGAAGACTCACAACTCTTCGTTCACAACTTAGAAAAGGAAGAAAGTAATGTCACTCCTTCCCACCCACCCTCTTTCCGTAAACATGGCAGCTTCTCCAGGAAGACGGAGCCAGTATTTGAATGAAAGCTTCACTGCTCACTTCTTTAATGCATTCCTGAATTCCCTGTCTGGTAATTACTCCTGTAACACTGTCAGACAGGTGAGGGTGTACCTAATCTTCTGAGGCAGCAACCTTCAATTGGTAGAGTTAAATGTTTCATTGTCAGCATCTGGTGAGCAGGCTTGGGCCATTCATTAAACATCTTTCCCAATCAGAACATACCTGTTTCAAAACAGAAATGTCACCAGCTGCTCATTTTGGTCTTTTCTTGTGTCTTTATTTACATAAGCCATTCAGTGAAGTGGTAGGATTACAGCCCAGGTAATTGAAAGCTGAAACACAATCTTTAATTTTCCTAGTGGGCTAAAAATGGTTATGAACCAAACTTCATTCAAAGGAGGCAAAGGCTGCCAGACGTAAGTACCTTTATGGATAGAAGCCCTTATTTTCTTTTCAGACCTTCTTGGATAAACACTATTTTCCTCCCATTTTAATCCTCCATTATTCTATGATGTTATAATCAAGCATCCCTGTTCCAGGGTTCTAAGGAGACTCACAAATTACCACTTCCGTCACAGAGCTGGAGAAGAGCACAGGCTCTAGGGGCAGCCAGGCTGTGTCCCAGCTGCATCCTGTTCCTGGCTGCGTGGGGCCCAGAACAGACCAAATTTTTTACTTTTCTGCTGCCTCTGTTTTCTCACTTAAAAAACAGGGATAACACTGGTAGCTTTCCCACATGGTGGATTTGAGGAGTGAACAAGTCAGTTCTTGGGCACCCTCAGAACAGTGCCTGGTACAGAGTAGGCACTGTGTAAGTATTCGCTACAGTCACTGTCCTGACTGAACAACAACCCGTAAAGAGCAAAACCTTCCGTGGCGGCAGCCTCTAGGCCCAGGTCAGGTGTGCCTGCCAAAAGACTGAGGCAAAATGCTGCTTTCTTTTTTTCCACAAGGTCTTTATTACTGGAAGAAAGATTGTTCCTTTCTCTTCATAATGGCCTTCGCCATCTAGCTTATAACATTATTGATTACTTTTCCTCCTTTTTCAGATCTAATTTTTTTTCTGAATAAAAGAATCTTTTTTAGTTCCAATTTTAAAGATGAGGGAAGGCTAGGTCTTTCAGGAAAATGTTACATCAACACCTATTTAGCAGAGCTTGATAATTCCTGAGTACACTTGTAAGAAAAACGGCTTTCAACTTTTCCTAGTTGTAGAGGGAGAAGCATCTGGAGGACAGGCCTGAGACTCCGTAGGAATCCAGCCCTTTGGGGACAGCAGAGCATCTGGATCCAGTTGTCTGCAGGATATTCGGCTGACATCTCCTGTGTGGATTTTAGTGTCCCTTTTGCTCTCAGATGCTAGTTATAGAGATAACCACTTTCCAAGCTTCAAGGGGCAGACATGAGAATTCCATTTGTGCAATCTCTTAGGGTGGTATAAGATTGCCCTGTTTTCCTGCCACAAGTTCAGCTGAGTGGTTTTGCTAGAGCTGCTGCCGATGACTCTGTGTCCAGTGATTTGGAAATGCTCAGCTTTCATGGATCCCGTGAACCCAGTCATTGGCCATTGACACAGTCCCCAGAGAGTTCTAATTACTTATCATTTAGTCTGCACTTCATCTTGGATGACTCTTTGTGTGAAAAGAACGAAAATGTATTCCTCTGTGTCTCATAAAGCAACAGTAGAGGTCTTGATTCTGTGGTGAATCATACCAAAGAAAATACAGCAGGAGTTTCCAGTTAGGATGGAATGCTGAGAAAAACAGGGATGCATGTAAAATGTAAATCACTGATATTACATTAAAATACTTTAGAAAATTTGAGCCAATAACCAGCCATTTAGATGACGGCAGGGGAATTAGCTCAAGGCAGGCAATCTGTGACTTCCTGTGCCCTTTTCAAGCGGCTCACCATAAAGTTCCCTTTGACGGCCTTTGGAAAGATCCAGAAGGTTTGGCGGGAGCTGCCATAGCCAGGACTGCAACCAAAACGGAGTTCTCGGGATCATCTATTATAAACACCTCCTTAAAAGGCAAGGCCAATTGACAGCAAGCCAGGTCATATTCACCAACCTGGAAGTAACTGGCCTTTCTTTTTATTCCTTCCAAGAGAAAATTTAGAATAACCAATTACTTGATGGATGAATTTTGCCCAGCAACTTTTTTCCTGGATAGCCGTGCTATATTGTATCTCTGCCCTGTGCCATGATTTTGTTACATCGGGAACCTGCCATTCACCTGGCATCCATATTGTGCCCTCCACTTGCTCTCCCTAGCACAGAAGACCCAGGTGTGCTCCTTACAGGCACGGGGCTTGTCCGTATATTCACTGTATCCAGAAGAGTGTCTAATACATAATGGGTGAGCATTAACTATATACCAGACATTGTGTATGACTTATTTCATCAACTTTTTATTTCAATAATGGGTCCATTAGCGATGTGAAAATTGAGTTCAAATAATTTGCACAACCAGCATCCCACTGGTAGAAAAAAATACACATGTTCCAGGCTTCTTAAAGCTTCACTCCATAGCCTCATCCCATAGCCACTATTACTACCAAAAACTAGCCTGATTAGGCCCTCAGGAGAGCCTTTCCTAGCCAAATTTTAAAATCGTGACTGTACCTTTTGATGGCCCATTTCAGACCCCAGAGACTGCATTTAATTGCCTGTTTGTTTGATGTTGGATGGATCACGGAGTTTGACTTCCTGTGACTGTTTTGTCTCTGAAAAGGAGGCGTGCGTGTGTATACACACCGTGTGATAAGTAAGGGGATGCAGAAGCTGGTGTGTAATAGCGTCCACAAAGGGTAGCTGTGGTTCTCAGACAGCAGCTGGCTCCTTGGATTATGCTCCTAGATCATCCTCCCTGATGAATCTGAAAGGCAAATATGAGCTTTTCTGAGATTCCCCAGGAGTAAGAGAATTCAAATAACAATGAGTGGGACATTTGGGTAGTAAACTTATGGATGTTTCTAACTAAGAACAAACTAAACAAAAGTGGGAAATCACCATGGCAACTTAGAGAGAAGTAGCTAGATTCCAGAGCAGCCAGCAGCTCCCTCCAGAACTCAATGAAACTGAGACAGCGCTTCAATGGAAAACAAGTCATGTGAATTCAGGCGAATGAATCTTTGAAAGACAGGAAATGAGCCAGGTGATTGGAGGATACTATCTTTTAGCTAAGGAAGAAAGCCAGTGGAATATTAGACTTCAAAACACAGTGTTCTTTAATACATTTTCTCTCTTAGCCCACGCATTCTGTACTGATTTCAAATTATGTGTTGTTGGTCCATGCAGTTTCTTTCTTTTCTGCCTGCCATATCAAATGTACTTCTGCCTTATGAAATGTATTCATACCTTTCCCAAAAGGGCACGTATGAGTGCGTTCTCCGTAAAGCCTTGTGAAAAAACTAGTATTTGTTCTACACCCTGTCCTCTTCAGCCTAGGAAAGGTTAGCACTTAGTCTTTCAACAATCCGTCATTTGTGTCTGGAGCACTGACCCGTGCTTCGCTGTTGCAGTTTTTATAGAAAGATACACTTTGCCTGCAATCAAAGGAAACCAAAATCTAGATGAGCGAAAACAATGGCAACATAAATCAAATTCTAAATTATGGAAGAATGTTGTGATTCCTCAAGAGACAAAGAAGTTAGTAGGGAGTTAATATCTCCTCGTTGTGGAGAAAAATGTAACACAGCTTCTGTGAACAAGAAGAGTGCTAGGCCTGAGCCAGGGACAGCAGTTGCCATTGAAAAGTTTGATTTAAAGGAGTCAACTTAGCGCTTAAAAGTGAGTTTGACTGGGGTACGATTGTGCCTCTGCCAGCCCAGGTGTCTGAGTTAGGCAAGCTGCTGGGACTGCCCTAAGCCTCAGTTTCCTCCTGTTCAAAGGAGAAGTTGCACCTGCTTCGCAGATCTGTTGTAAGGACTAAATGCTTACGGAACATGCTGCCGTGCCGAGCTGAACACACGTGCATTAGGACTTAGAAAATGGTGGTAGCAGTCATTTTTTTTTTTTTTTACTAGAGTTGAGGTAGAAGATTTGATGAATGGGCCTAGAAAGTCACTGCAGTTCTTGAGCAAGGTATGCCTTTAATTAATGTGGTTTTGGGGAAGATTAATCTGGCTGTGGTTTGTAGGATTGATGAGGCGACAGAAAGTCTTATCAGGAGCCCAGAAGTGTGATCTTGGCTTGATTTTTATAAAAGACTGAATTAGGAAGATGGCAGTGAAGACTGAGAGGAAAGGAGAAAGGGAAATGAAGAAAAAGTCTATAGAATCTGATGACTCGATCTCACTGTGTGAAGACAAAAGAGTTTGTCACAGATTGTCCTCAAGCGTTGAGTTGTTGAAGCTTGGTAAGCCCCTGACACCGGGGTTTGCTCGCCCAGAAGACACTGGAAAGCTGATGTGTTTGATGCAAGAGCTGCTAGAAAGCAGCAGCCAGTACCCTGGGGACCTTGTCTGTGTTCTCCTCGTGTCCCAGGAGCCTGCCCCGTAACTGACAGGAGAGGCCCAACACGCATTTTTGAGTGAATGAATGAATGAATGAATGATTGAGACACTGTGCACTCACAAGTACTGTATGAAAGCTCTGTGGTGTTGAGTGGATGATTATATTGTGAACAGTGAGCCAACCTTCAGTGAGGGGTAAAAAGTCCATATTTAATCTAGGAAGAAAAATATCTATTTCTCAAGAAAAAATAAAAACTGTCCATCCAACAGAAAGTAGTCACTGTTGAAACTTGAACACAGATACAAAGGGAATTTTCTAATTCAGAGAACATAAAATAAACATATTTAAAATGCAGGGGCAGGAGGCGGGGAGCTTGTTCTTGTATGTATTGTTTTAGTGTCCCCATCCTGGGTACAGGATAAAAGAAAATCCTTACGTGCTTGTTAGAAGAAGAAAGCTCTTACTTGAAGTTTCTACTTGGCAGATGTCAGTTGAAAGCTCTGCTTATGGAATATGCTGCGGTGTCAAACTCTGTTGGATAATTTTAGACGAATGTGTCATGTGTGACATGGAAATATGGCACGCTGTACATTAGTGATTTCCCAAGTGTTTGGATCAGGTAGTAATGTGCTGGGAAAGTGCTCTTCATCTACCCACACGGTGTACTTGTAGAGCGATGGGGAAATGCTTTTGGTGGAAATTACTTTAGTCAGAAAAAGAATCCATTTACAATATGTGCCTTCTAACATCTTTCAGACAATGCATTGTATTAAAGAGGCATTTTTGATTAATGTTTTATAAACATTTTTCAGCATGACAGCTTAAAGTCCCTGTAAAATTGTAAATGCGTGCGTAGTGTTCACTTCCATAAAGTCAAATGCCATCTCATAAAGTCTGGTTGAATCCTGTCAACCATGGTGACATAGAATCAGTACCAGGGAGCATTAAAATTAATTTCCTTCATTTGTATTACTGCAGTGATAGCAAGATGAAAAGAAGCCTATATTTAAATTTTGCTCTAAAAAGAAAACTCTTTCTAGTAAGTTTGTTTGGGTTTTTAAGTTATTGCTCTTTTTCCTAATTAATGAATGTAGTAAAAAGTGGGTAATAGACTGCAGAGTGACTTTATGATGGGATCTGGAAAAAAAATGCAAATCTGTTCATTCAACACACTCCTTTTGAACACCTACTGTATGTGCAAAGATAAATAAAAGTTGCTGGCCCTAAAGTTTACGGCTTGGTGCAGGAGACGCCAAGATACTGGTTATAACAAGTACAGCACATTCAGGGATAGAATTGGTATAAGCGTGGAAGAGAAAGCAGCTGCGGGCTAGTCTTGACCACTTGGCCTGGCTTCTTAGAGGAGTCAACCCAAGAACCAAGGGCTAAAGAACATGGAGGGAAAAGAGTGTGTTACGGATTGAGACCTGGTGGTCACCTTAACGCCAGCTGGATTACATCAGCATGCAATGAGTGAAGATGCTCCACCTGAGGAGGGTTGCCAGGATAAATAGGTGGAGAAGAAGGGAGGTGTTGAAGGGTTGAGGCGTTAAGGAGGTATTGTGGGTTCTCCTACAAGTAGCTGTCTGAGCTGCTGGTTCTCCTGGAGAAGCTTTGGTCCTCACATCAAGCACTGCTTCCTGGCTCCGGAGGGGAAGATATGTGCTGCTTGGTCTCCAGGATGAACTTGTCACGCTGCTTCCTGGCACATACCCGACTGGGCTTGTCGGAGGAGGAGCTCGGGGCCTCAGTGTCGCTGAGGACAGCTGTGGTGCCTTTCAGGACAGCCCCGCTCTTTGTTGAGTGTGACTTCTTGGCTCCAGTGTAGAATCCTTATCCCACTAGCACAGCTGCTTCATCCTGCTGGAATAGACTTTCTGGCTTCCACCAGTGACCCTTGGGTCTTCCTGGCACGAATCCATAAAAGAGACTGGTGTGAGTCCTTCTTGTGGGCTCTGGACTTCCAGTTGGACTCGTGGAGGCGTTGTTTTGAGCTCTGGGTTTTTATCTGGACTCGTGGGACATTGCCGTGGGGTTTAGACTCTTGACTAAATAATCTATGTCTTTGGTGTTGCGGATAGATTTCCTGCATTTTCCGGTGTTAACTTCCGGTGACCATTATAAAAATATTATAAACTCCATGTCCTGATCTGAATTGTTCTCTGTGTACAACCCCTGACTACAACAGGGTGGGTGACACACATCCTAAGGTGCAAGCGCAGAGAGGCCAGGCAGGGTGTGGACAGCCATAGATGGAAGAGACGGTACTAGTGCTGGAGTGCAGAGGTTAGACCACTGAGTTCCCGTGCCACCAAGAAGACTCTGCCATGTTGTAAACTCCTGATCATCAGATCTGCGCTTCAGAGTGTTCACCGTAATGGTAGAGTGGGAAACAACACAGATGGCTCAAACCTAAGCACCGAGAGCCTGGTTTGGGGACAGTCTGGGAGGGGCAGCTGATGGTGCCCTGAAGGGAGCACCAGGCACAGAGGTGTGAGTACACTAAGGCGCCCAGTGAGTCCCTCAGGGCAGGATGTGTTAGTTTTCCATGACTGTGACAAAATACTCAAGATATTCAAGAAGGTAATACAGGCACACAAAGTGGTGGGGAGAGATTCCTCTTTCATTGGACTGATGTCCTCACAGCTACAAGTCATCACAGATCCTCTCTCTCTTTCAAGTAAGGCAAACGATTGTAAAGGGCAAAGTAGGGAAAGGGTCTGTCAGGAAAACAGAATGTCCCCTTTTGAGACGGGAATTGGCTCAGCATTGTTGGAAAAGTGGAAGGGGAAAGGAGCCATGAGGAAACAAGAGGAAGAGCTGCAGGGAGGGCCTGGAGCCCGGGAGAGGAGGAGGGTTATACCTAGACGAGCAGAGGGCCTGGCGGTGCAGGGCCTCTGTCTGGGAGGAGGAGCACTGGCGCTGGGGACTCCGAGGGGCTGCTGTTGGCAAGAAGCAGCAACACTACAAGGAACCGCACCCTCCCCTACCTTCTTCCTCTCCTGCCTCAGCTGACCAGAAGAATGAGGGTCACAGAACGCAAGATGAGAGAGAAGAGCTGCTGCTGCCAGAAGAGAGCTCCAGGCAGTTGGCATTTGGTCCGAAGAAGAGCGGGGACCCTGGCACACTATAAGCTTCTTTGCTCTTTTTTTTTTTTTTTTTTTTTTTTTAAACTTTTTATCGGTACCAGGGATCGAACTCACGACTGCCTGCTTGCAAGGCAGGTGCTTATGCCGCTGAGCTAAATCCCCAGCCCCAACACTATAAGCTTCTTAAAGGCCAAGCCTTGCTTGCATCTAAATCTGTGACTTCATGGCATTATGGAGGCAGCCCGGCAGTCACCTCACGTCTCACCCAGCCAGAGGCTCAGAGCGTGGTGACCCTGAAGAGGGCCAGCATGAGGGCAGCAAGGAGAACGAGTTCCCAAAGGACTGCTGACCTCCAGAGCTGATCACCAACCCGGCCCTCATCTGCTTCCCACCGCAGTGCCCGGCCCCCTCCTTTCCAAACTGCCCTTGCGCAGAGAGGACACCTGGCGCTGCGGCGCACCTGCCGCGCTTGGGGCTCCCCAGGGAAGGCTGCCTGACCTCCAGGCTCTCGAGCTCCTCAGCGGAATGGCAAATGCAGTGGTTTTCACGGATCTCTGGGTTATCATGAGGAGCAGGTGAGTCGGTATGGAGCAGAGCAGGACACAGTAAGCACTCGGTACATACTGAGCGTGACAGCCCGTGCTCTTTGCCACGTGCTTCATCACATGAAGGTGGCTTTGTGATGTGCTCACATTTAGATGTCTTGTGTAGTGCGCGGTGGCTTCTTGGTTTACCTGTTGTAGCAGCAGCACCTGGCTCTGTCTATGGCTTCTCCTCAGAGCCTGTTTGAGCTTGTAGAGAATGACACAGTGCAGATTCCTAGCCAAAAACGGGGAACCTGGTTATTTAGCCTAGCAACCAAAATCTTTGAGTTTAGGGTCAGAAAACCATTCTAGGACAAATACCCGCCATGTTTCTGTCACTTCCTCCCTTTAGCTTCCCTTTTACTGTGCCCCATTCAGTTTCTTAATGTCATCCCTTTGGGCCAAGGAATGAACAATTTTTTTTTCTGATATTGGGAATCTAACTCAGGGCCTCACACTTGCCAGGCAGGGACTGTGCCCCTGAGCTACATTCCTGGATCTATGAATAATGTTTTTGAAAATGGAGTAAGTCCAGATCTTAATATTGTTCCATTATAATAACTTCTCAAGACTTCCCCGTCAGATTCTACTTTTCAATAGTAAGTGGATTGTTAAAAGCTTTTTATGTAATAAAAAAAAGGAATTTTCACATCTCGTTGGTTTTTTTAAAATACACATTGATGTGCAGACAGAAACTGCACAAAAATCTAAACCTACTTCGGAAGCTCTGAGAGAGTGTATGTTGGGAAGAGTTAAGTGTTTTCAGTTTATGACACTGATATGTGAGGCTGTGAAAAAGCACGCAGCCATGAAACAAAGTTTTGCATAAAGGTTTGAAATGTATTGCAAAGTCAAAATAACTGGAAAAGCTGAGCCTTTCTCACCCTGTTATAATAAAAAGTTATTTATACACCTTCATCACGCACACTTAGGAGCTCAGGTCCTTGTCACAGGAAACACACAGAGAGCCCGGCTGTTGAAACTCCAGCTGGAAAAGCTGACACACGTACACGGCAGTTCTGAAGACCAGGGCTGTACTAAAACAATTGGTAAGAACGGGCAAACTGCTGTCAGCACTCAAGAGCCATGTTCTGTGGCAGCTGCTTGCAGAAAACCATGCACACCCTGCCTTTTTGAATAGATTGGTAGACTCACAAAGTAGTGTTCATTTATTTGGGCTCCATCAAGACTCTCGCTGAGTTTGAACCTTCAGAACTAATTCTACAATTCACCTGCCATACGCAAATTCGTATGAGCTTTGCGTGGTGATTGGAAAGTACTTTGAGATCCTTGATCAAAAGAGGGTGTGCAGGGCTGGAGTTAGTCCGGTGATGTAGCTGGTGTGCTTAGTACACCTGAAGTCCTGGATTCAATCCCCAGCACCAGAGAGACATTGGCAGGCACACAGAGACAGGCAGACACTAAATGAATGAACGAATGATGAATGAATGAATATGCAAAGATCCTATCGATGTTCCTGTGACTAAAGGACCTCTTCCTGCAGCAGTGTGTACCGTGGTATCTTACCAACTCCTGAAAGTGAGCTTTGGGACTTTAAAAAGGTATCACACTGGCCTCCCCGAAGACCATCACATTGTCTCACCACTGCATAAGAAGAGATCCATCTTCAATTTCTACTCACCAGTATTTTTCAACCTTCTTAAAGAGTCCCCGTTACACACAGACTCCCCTCTTTCAGATGAATGGACATTTATTGGTGCCCTTGAATCCTTTCCACATTCATGTTTTAGACTCAGCTCAGAGCCTTCTGTATTGAAAGGAAGAGAGGTTTGTTGATTTATTTGAGACTTTCCCATTTCAGTTCTGTGCGTTCACATGGGGAAATACAGTAATAACCTATTCCAAAGTTCTGGTTTTCATAGAACAGGTCTTTACCTTGACAACAGCCTGAATTTGCCTCTGGGTTTTCTGTTTTCTTCGTTCACCAGGAATTCCAATGCTGAAGATAGTGTTTGCGGGCCATGAGCACCTCTCGCTAATATCCGTGCCCCTGCTCATCTACCACCCAGCGCAGATCCTCCTGGGGAGCGTGCTGGTGCCGACCATCAAGTCCTGGATGGTGTCAAGGCAGAAGGTGAGGCTCCAGAAAGACCTCACTTGAATCCAGATTGGATCAGAACGTCATTCTTGCATCTGGACTCTGTATGCTCCAGCTTTTGCTAGTACAATGTAACTGAATACATAAGAATAGGGCATTGACACATTTCAATTTAAACAGAAGAACTGGATGTTAAATGTTTTAAATTCACGTAAGAGGCAGTTATACTTCGGCTGTAGTTGTTAAGTTCTCCTTTTGATGCTGTCATATTGAAGGGTGTATTCCATGGGTGTCCAAGACGGGCTCACTGCCTGCTTGGGCACACCGTCTCTGCCCTACCTCACCCTTCATCTGTGTCCAGACCTCCCGTGCCTTTCTCAACACCTAGGCTTACCTAGGATGCTCACTTCAGTTGTACTTTTCAAAAAGCATAATCTCTTTGTACAGCAAAACTATGTGTGTTAAATAAGCTCAGTAGCAAAGGAGCCCACGCATTACTGCTTTCACGACACTTAGTGTGGAAATTCCTTACACGTTAGATCTCTGGATTTATCAACCGAAGCAAAGTAAGCCAGTGAGTCAAAGAAGTCTCCATGATAGAACATGATATCACCAGGGAGCTGGCCCCTTCCCAGTGGCGTGGCCTGAGCAACACTTACATTTTCCTGTACGTGAGCAGTAACTGTTACCAGATGTGTGAGAAGGAGAGACATCTGAGACAAGCCATCCTGTGTCATGTCCCCAGTGTCTCATACACAGAGGCCCACAGTGGGCCCACTGAGCTGTGTGTGCTAAGCCAGTGCCATCCTTGACTTGGTTCTGGATGTGTACCTGACCCAGCTGCCTGGATTGGAGCTTACCTGCTGTGGTGTTCAGAGCAAACTTTGCTGACCCATTTTACAGATTAGGAAGTGAGCTCAGAGAGTTGAGGTCCTGAGCATGACTTAGCTGGTGCTCGATGTAGGACTTGGGAACCCTGATTCCTTTGATGTCCCCAACACTGCAATGACACCCCCAGATACAAATATCATTTTTAGAAGGCTCATGTAGTGCTCTAAGATTCAATTTAAAACATTTAGCTGGCCCCCTGTATTCACTGGGCTTGTATTCAATTATCAAACCAAATGGTAGTGAGCCCTTTTCTATATCAGGCTCTGCAATTTATACTCAGAGTTAGCAGCAGAGTGGTTTAGCATCCTCTCTCTTTTACTATTCATCCACTTGAAAATTCTCTTAACATTTATGTTTATTTTTATCAGTGTCTATGTACTTGGTCACTCAGAATTTATAAATTTTCACAAAAGATGGAAAAACTGTTTGAAAATGCTAATACTCTTATCAACAAAATGCACTCAGAGTGAACCGCAAGTTAAGTGCTTTTTTTTCGTTTGAGGAGTTTCAAAGCTCTAAGATTTATTCTATAGAACAACAGAAGCATTTTCAAAAGGGAGCCTAAACTGGACAACACTGTTATTTTTCCCTTTGCATAGTCTAACTTAGAATAATCAAGAAGGCCTGGAATTTTTGACCACTAAAATAAATACAAAGAATTTATCCTTGCAGGCTTCTCTGATTTGCAAACAACACTATTGGGACCCAGAGCCACCATCTAGTACAGAGCAGAACTACATGAGTAGCCAGGACAGACTGGGGGAGAAGACAAAGTGCTGGCCAGGGAGGTGGGCAGGTAAATCTGTGTCCACAGGTTTGGCCTAGTGATTATATGACGCATCTGTGTGGGCCCATCAGTCAGCTTTCCCTTACTGTAACAAACACCTGAGATGATCTACTTACAGAAAGTTGACTTGGCTTACAATTTGGGAGGTTTCAGTCCATAATCAGTTGGCTCTGTTGTTTTGGGCACAATATACGATGGCAGCATATAATAGATCAGAACCACTGAACCCATACCTGGGAGGCAAAAAAGAGAAAGAGGAAGAGACCAAGGTTGCACAAGCCCCTCTGAGAGTTTCATCCGAGACCAGAACACCCCACAGAGTCTTGTAAATGTGCCAACACCTCCCAGTAGCACCACGCTGGGAACTCCACCTTTAACTCATGAGTCTTCGGGGAAGAATCCAGATCCAAATTAGTGGACCTCTCCTTCCTCAAGAAGTGTAAATTCTCTGGCGTTAACCAATGCTTACACTTTGCTCGTAGACACTGAGTAACTCTGACCAACCCGTTTCCGTTTCTTTCAGGGAGTGAAGTTGACAAGGCCAACAGTATAACCGAGGAGGTGCACTTCCCGTAGCCGTGTATATATGTACAGGACTGTACATAGCACACCATTCTGAAGACTTGTACTTGTGAATGTTGCTTCGATGCATATTTTTATTTTTTTACAGAAAAATATGATGTACCTGTTTAAGTGCCTTAAAGTTTATTCAACAAGAGTGTAATTTCCAAAACATAACTCTGCTGGTTACTGCTAGGGTGGTACAGTATTTTGGAGTTAATTTCTTTGTTCCCGATGCAGAAAACAGTCCTACAAAGGACCAAAAGCTACCGTACCTTCCCTGTGTCGTCACCTTTTGTGCAGACTCTGTAACAGTTACTGTAATCTTTGAAATGAGGTCACACCATCAGGAAAATGCCCTTCCAGTGACAGTGAAAATTTCCAAAGTTTTCTTCATGCATATTTTGATTCACTGTGTGATTCTGTTTTCTACAACTGTGACATGCCTCTTATCAACTCAGCAGGGGTCATGGGTAGAATCGATGCTGAGAAGCGTGAGGTATCTCTGCATTCCTTGACATCTTTTTTTTTAGACACATTCCTTCAAATAGTTTCCATACAGAAAGTCTTCAGTCCCATCATAAGAAACTCTGGTGTTGTCTTAAATTTATTATAAGCTGCTTCAAAGGAAGGGCCTGATGTCTGAGTTATGAGTGAAGTAACTATGTGAAGTTTTGAGGTAAACTAAGGAACTTGGTTTTCAGGGTTTTTAATTATATCTCAGTATGTTTTTATTCTTTTGTCTGTAATTTCTTTCTTACTTGCTTATCTACCACCCTCAATACTTACAATTGCCAAAGTGAGACACACACAAACATTACAATCAGTCTAAGAACAGCAGCAATTAATGAATATTCACATTCCACAATACAGGCTCCTCTTCTGTGATTCTTCTGTTGCACAGATGTGCTGAGCACTTTCCAAATTTCCCCTCTGGTGAGAACAGCCTGTCACAACTTTGAATTAAGCACACTTGAGACATTTGAGACCATTTTTTCCCTAGATTTGATAAATGTTTGCAGCACTCTTTAAAAAGTCAAAATCGTATTGTGCTTATGAATTTAGGTCACGAATGCAAGCAAATGTTACACAGACACACTCTGCCTAGCCAGATGGAAAGAAAAACTGGCACAAAAAAAGACAAGACCATTCATTAGCCAGAATATTAAGTATAATTTGTCCCCAGCTGGGCATCGGTTTTCTTGTAAAGAAGTCTCCAGTGTTCACTGTTACTGTGGCTGGAAGAAGGCTCAGTGGACCCAAGCAGAGAATGAAGCAATACCCAGGGGTAAGGGAGCGCTTTCTCGGCACGGCCAGCTCTCCTGACCTTCCTCATGTCCTTGATCTGACACAGGATACGGCATCCTGGGTGTCACGGAGGCCACACTGCACCCTCAGGACCTGCCGTCCTTGTCACTGGTATGCAGACAACAAAAGTCCACTCCTTCAGAACTTACTAAGTTTATCGGTAGTGTAAATTTGTATTATTGTTACAACTGGATCTTGTGTTTTGTTACTTGTGATACGTTTCTATGTCATTGAACCACATCAGTCTCACAGGAGTCCTAAGGTTAGTACCAGGACCTGTAAAAACCTACTCTAAACAGGCTGTAATATGCAGTGGCTGAGAATTAGTGTCTAAAACTACAGTAATGTTTCTTTTTGCTTTTCATGCTTATCTGTAGAACACAGGAAAAAGTTTTCATGTTTTGTTCCTGCAAGCTGTTTTGTTCCTTGAGTTTTAGAGTAAATGGAAATGTCCAAGCCGTCATAAAAATCCCTTTCCCTTTTTATCTGAATATAGATTTTCTTTTCAACTTATCTACCTCTCTTGTCTAACACCTACACTAGGTGTGATATGGGATAAGTTTCACCTGAAAATGCTATGGTAACATTCTGTCTTTTGCTTTAATGTGTTTTATTTTCAAATAATCCTTATGTGGTGCATTTTGGTGGCTTTGGTGATATGTTTGTATCTTTTTTAACACAAATGTTATAGCATATTTTTCCATAAAGAACAGGAAATAAAATTTATTTTTAATTCATGTTTATTGGGATTTAATTACTCAGATCTTAAAATGTTTTTATGTTTATGCACTGTCAAGCTGTTCTATGCATTTGTTTTGTCCAAGTGTATTTATAAAAGAAATAAATTATGTTTACTCATTTTCCCACCTGGATTTTTTTTAGAAGGTTGTTAGGAAACTTGATTTTTTAAAGGGATATAATGTTGATCTTTAACACATTGTAAGTTTTTAAAGTTTTGTTTTTTAAAATGCTTCCCTATTCTGTTTAAATTAACATACCTCTGGTGATGTTCAGTGTTTATGCTAAATACCAAATGTTTTCAAAAGGATGGTTAAGTAATGAAGTAGATTATTTATGATGAATGGAAGAGGAAAATCATTCTATGATTAAACAAAGAAATTCTGAAGAAATCCCAAAAGAATCTGTGGCTTATTTTTAACCCAATTTCAAGTGCACTCATTACACCTTCCAAGTATTCCAAGAATCACTGTGACATTGTTCCATCATTTGTGGGAAAATAAATATAGACCTCTCTCCTAGATATCCAGACCTCCCCGACTGTATAATGTTAAAATCCAGACATAGCCCTGCATTTTTATTAGAGATTTCTTTCTTTTGCATTGGAATTAAGAATCAAAAAAGAAACATACAGATTTTAGCTACCATTGCCATATTTTTGAATAATACAAAAAAGTTTTTCACATGCCTTTGCCAAGTACTCTGCCTCTTTGATGAGGATGTTATTTTGCGTAGACTTTCATACTTTTGTGCTCTTAGTTCTTTGAGACAAGGTCTCAGCAGGTCAGGCAATCCCTGAACTTGCTATGTAGCTTACATTGACTTCAAACTCACAGCAATCCTCCTGCCTCAGCCTCTTGAGTTCCTGGATTACAGGTGTGCACAACCAAGTCCCGATGCCTTCAACTCTTGTCTTCGCACTCTGACAGAAATTCTCACCTCCCCAGGAGGCTTTCTCGGCTTCCTACCCAGGGCTAGATTTGGCCCTCAAGTTATCTTAAACCTTGTATGTCCTAATCATTGGTTAATATTTCTGTCTCCTTTGTGTGCTGCTAAACTCCGTTTTTGTTATCTACTCCACCAGATACAAGGCTTAGAGTAATAGCACACACACACACACACACAAATCCACAAAAATGAATGGATTTTCCAAACTGTGGTCTTAATAGGTAAGATGTGAACCTTCAAAAAATTAAGAGTTTTCCCTCCCCATAGATCATTGTTAATTTACGAGTAAAATGCCCCCCCCCAATACTTTTCCTATCCTGAATAAAACCATGATGCTGGCTGGTGCTCCTCATAGAAATGCATCACTGCCTACCTGTGCAAACATGAATTCTCTAAGGCAAGAGCGCAGGTGGGTGTGCAAACGGCTTTCATCCTGTACACTCAGACAGCAGGATAAACCCTCAGTAATTCAGGTTCAGTCAGATTCGGTGACTGAGTGAAGATATTATTTCCTTACAAAAATTCTGATGCACTACAAAGCTAGGCAAAAAACCATCAACAGTTTATGTGCTGTATACAGAACACACAGAAAGTCTGCTAAGAGGGTTCTTTCACTGATCTTGTTTACGCTGTACAACAGTCTTTCTCAAATGCAAATAAAACACTCATTTAAAGCAAAAAGATCCTGACCCTGGAGTGCTTCCCTTCGGCTGGATCATGAGGGACTCTGTCCTGAACGCTAAGTGCTGTCGTGCGGAAGGTTGGCTGCGGCCAGGGTGACAGTCAAGGGCATGGACTCAGCCCAAGGCGCTCACGCGGGAGGAGCCCCACGGGCATCCCCGCCCTCTGCCCCACGAGGTCAGCTCTCTGCAGTGCATGCCACTTCCCAGAGTGCAGTGCAGCTCCCTTTCCTGCCAGGACCTCTGCGGGACCCTGGACGCAGCGAACCCCTAGGTTGTACAAACCTCAAACTAAACAGCACAGTCGTCAAGCCTGCTCCAGGAACCCGGATCCGGACTCCGGAAGTCCCCTGACCCTCTTTCCCCACTGGCTCCACCCACTGCCCTGTGGCCGGCTCTTCCTTTCCCCTCCCTTCCCTTCCTTCTGCAGACACCGCTGTCTCAGGTGCAGTGTCTGACTTCCTGGCTGTGAAGAAGCCTCTGGCCTCCAGGCAGCAGCTGCAGGTTGCCTTAAAAAGCCCACTTCCTTGGAAGGCTGTGCAAGCTGACAGAAGCGTCCAAATTTCCCTTTTTCTCTGATTTTGACTGCCTCCCTGCCCTGAACTGGGATGACTCAATATGAGGATTTATAGCTGCCCTGGACAAGATGCATCCCAGAGGGCAGGAAAGAGAAGGGGTGTGCGCTGATTCAGGTACACTAGAAAAACAGACAAAGGATAAAAATAGATGAATTCAGGGAAAACTAAATGCAAATGGGTAATAAACAAATTTTAAAATAAAACTCAAAGGAGTCAAATTTCAAAATAGAGATTGACAAAAGGTAAAAAAAAAAAAAATCTAGTAATTAGCAGATGCAAGAGTTTGGGGAAGGACTCTTAGGCCCTGTTAGAGGTAGACTAAATGAGGTGGCATTTGCAGGAAGCTGTTTAGCCAGCCGTGCCATCAGTTGTTTTAAATGTGTGTCCTCCCACCAGGTTCTTTAGTTTCTGGGATCTACCTGAAGAAATGGATAAATACACAAGGATCCAATGACAACATTTTAAGAGCAATAATGAACCTGAAAAACATGCCCACGTTCTCCTAAGACAGGAAAATGTTGATTCAGCAGCATGTTCTCATAGAACATTCTTGTGCCATGAAAAAGAATAAGGACACATTATCTTGTAATAACAACATACCGTGGAGTAGGAGGAAGAGGTACATCTCGGGGAAAGTATGCATGTTTTTAATCCCATTCCACTGATGCAAACACTGAGCCACACTTACCCGGTTGCCTGAAGGCTACAAAACTAAGTGGGAGCACTTTAGCCACTACTAGACTGTCTCTAACAGTAGGGACTCCTGGGAAGCAGGAACGAAAAGGGAGAATGTAGTTTTACATTTTACTTCAGCCTGCCATGGAGGGTTCTAAGAAGCCTGCAACACGCACTGGCACTACTTTTGCCGCCTCTCAAGGGAATCTTGTAATTCATGTCAGCTGTGGCAGGTTTTTCAGGAAGACATCCTTTGCCTGAGGAAAAAGATAAATCCTCTAAGCACAGCCTAGGCAGGTGTTGGGGTTTGGGTCTGGATGTCCCCCCAAAGCCTCATGCAGTCAGGCAGGTGGGCTTCTAGAGTTCATGAATGACTCATGGTCCAGTGCTGGGATTATGGGTATGAGCGCTACACCCAAGTGAGTTTGGCCTACATACAACATAAAGGACAGTAAGAGCCTTCTCTCCGTGGTCCTCCCCGTTTGCTCTGGTTGCTTGTGCTGTTTTCCACCACCAATAACTATTGCCCCCTGCCATGTGCCACTTGGTCTTGGAGCCAGCTGATAATGGACTGAAACCTCCACAAACTGTGAGCGAAATAAAACTTTTCTTCCTTAACTTTGGGTGTCTGGCATTTTGTCCTAGCAACGTGAGAAAAAATATCCAAGACAGTAGGTAAAGGCAAGACCAGAGGGTGAGCAAACTACACACTGGGACAAGAATAGTAGACAGCTTTGGAAGGGGAGACTGGGGAGTCCAAGAATGAGGGGAGGAAAAAGAAGAGAGATGGGAACAAGAGAGACAGAGGCTCAGGACAGTCTGGAGCTAAAAGACACGGCCAGGTAGGCTGGGGACTGCAGCTCAGCTGGGTGACAGAGTGCTTCTCCAGCACATGCAAGCCCTGGATTCCACACCCAGCGCCACAGAAAAGATGAGAGGACACCCAGAGAGAGAATCTGATGACAAAATGGCCACAGGCATCCTAAAGACAGGAACTAAATGTGTAAATATGCCCGCAGCACAGAAGGAAGTGCCTAGCAACCCGGGTGAGGGGCAGCTGTGGTGATGCTGGTGATTGCAATTGTCATTTTTTAAATGACTCACTTTTTGCAATTCATCTGCCTTCCTGCTCTGCCCCTCAAAAAACAACCTTCAATAAGGAAGCAGTTTCCATGAAAGGGGTTCATTCATTTGGAAGAAAATGAAGTCAAAGTTTTGACATACCTCATCAAGAGGTCATAATAAGCAGAAGATTCCAGTCACAAAGACACCAAGCCACAGGCAGGGATTCTGACCACTCACTGACCAAAAGAAGGGAAACACACAGAATTCTTGGAAAGGGAATATTTCCTGCAAAACACAAAACTCCTTCTCAAGCCGTTCCTTTCTGTCCGAAACTGACGCGTGTGTTCAGATGGACACTGCAGGGCGGTGACAGTACTGCTGGGGGACAGTGCTCTGATGGGCACCACTCGGCCCTCTCTGTGGTGTGAACACTCTCACCTTGCTGACTGCAGGCGGCCACACAGGCTGGTGTTGAAAGTGGAGCTAGCAAGAGGCAGGTCTGGCAGGCGCCCTCCCCCAGCTACCTCTGCACCGCTGGCGGAGCTCAGTTCCTGAGTCTCAGGTACATTTAATTCTTCGCATAACTCTAGGAGCAGACATCCCGTTGTTATCCACGTTGTACAGGTAAGGAAATTAAGGCCGAAGATAAGTTCTGAGCCCAAGCCTCACAGCTCGTAAAGTGGTGCAATGAGGATTCAAACTCAGATTTTCCTGACTTCACATGCAAGTCCATATTGGATCACAAAGTAGACTCCGGCACAGCCCCAAACCCACATAGTGGTTAGAAGATGCTATTTTCTTGTATATGAATACTCTGGGAAGTAGCAGTGATTGAGACTTGTACCTAAGTTATGCAAGAAAGCTTTTATTATGCAGTGAAATAAACCTGATACTCAGCCTTAAATAGTGCATGGTTTCTTTTATAATGGAAACTGAAAGTACATGTAAGGAGCAAAATAAAAGATAATAGGAAATAGACAAATCTTCTGCAAAAGGGCAGTGGACCAAGAGATGGAGACAAGGGGAGGGAAGGAAGGAAAGGGATAAAAGAACAATTAAGATGTATTATGTATCTGCACCAACTCCTCACCAGGAGTGTAACCGTTATGGCCAATAAAAAATTAACCTAAAAATTTTCAGTCTTAAAGAAAAACCAAGTTTTGATGGAGGATTGTCCTTATGCAGAGTAAGTCAAAAGCCCCCACAACTCAGAAATTCTAGACAAGGAAGGAAAAAGCCTAAGAGTTCTGATTTTTAGAAAACTCAGCATCCGCTGGGTGGGAAAGACAGCGTGCTAAGGAGCTGGATCCTGGAGAAAATGATCATCTCAGCTACCAGCTGTTCCATGCTTCCAGACTCAGTCTCTGTGCCCACAGAGAGCCGCGAGTGCCTCCTCCTGGGCTGGCTGGGCAACGTGGTTAGCACTTCATTCCGGTTCTTTTCCATCAGTGTCTGCCGTGAACTCCAGCCCTGTCGCTGTCTCGCGTGCAGTGCATTCTGACAAAGCCCCCTCGCCCTTCGCAGTTACTCTGGGCCCAAATCAAAGACGTCCCATCACACTGAAGGAGTAGCGGCGTGTCACCGACAGAGGGCGCTCCTCTGCTCAAGAAGCCAAAATGAGAACCGTGCAACAGCACCGGGCTGTTACTGCGATGGAGTGAGATCACTCCTTCCGCCAGCGTGGCACGGTGCAGGCATTCGCTGAGAGCTCAGTAAGTGGCAGCTAAGGCGATTATCCAGCAATGACCGGGACCTGGGACGTGCGCAGGCAGACTATTTCCCACGACTCCTAATCTATGCAAAAGATCTCTTGAGGAGTCCATTAAATGTCACTAATCAAGTCAGGAAGTGACCGGGGCACGAGTGCCTCCTTCATCGGTTAATGAAGACACAGGGTTCTGAATTTTAAGATGACTGCAGCCTCTGCTGGCTCCCACAGGTGTCCCCGAGACCGTGAAGAGAAGGACACATTTAAAGAGGCTCCCAGACTTTCTGCCTGGGTTTTGCCTCTTTCTATCCACTCCCAAGGACTCCATCAGGAGGTATCCCCGCTTCCCTGAGGCTGGCTGAGAACCATCGGATGATGCAGCTGGTAACCAGAGCTGTCCTCTCTGGCTCTGGGTAGCTAATTCCTGCCAGAGGTGACTTCACCTGTGGGGCTGGGGCTGGAGCGGCCACTCTGAGGTCACAGCCCTCTTGGAAGAGTGTTCCTGAGCTTCAGCTGTGCCCAGGGTAAAATGTCCATCAGAGCCCGGGGTTCCTTTGAATGTGTCCATCTCCAGGAATCTGCATCTCAGATCTTTCTCCCGGTGGGAACCTGTGAGCCCTTCTGACCTGTTGCCTTGAGCTCCTATCTGGTCACCCCTGGACAGTTCCACTTGATGTCTTCAGGCGCTTCTAACCACAGGCCCTGAATGAAAACTCTGTGACCTCTTTCTTTCTCAACACTCCATGCTCCCCAAGCCGGCTTCCTCTGTTGCCACAGCAACCACAGTGCTCTCCTCCCTGAACCCCTCACATCTGCTTTTCATATGCAGAGTGTCACCAAATACTATGGGTTCCATCTGCAAAATCTCAGTCTCTATCTCCCGCTACAGCCCACTGTCACGTCTTAACATCCCTTTTGAGCTGTTCTTTCCACCCTGCAGTAACCACCTAGTCCCCAATTCATGAAGCCTTCTGCTGACCTTGAGAAGTCTCCTACAAGATGCTGGGTTCTCTGCTCAGTACTTGAATGCTTGAAATAAACGATCCCATGTAATCCTTATAATGAGTTTTGGCATAGATGTAACTTCCCATTTTGCAGATCACAAAGTGGAGGCCTCATGAGACTAAGTTCCCAATTCTGTAGTTCATAAAATGACAAAGCCTGGTGCCACTGGCTCTCTGAAGTGGCCAAGCCCTGTGCTTCTTTCAGGTGCTGCTTCTCAGTCTCTCCCTGTGCACCCCCAGCACCCCAGGACACGGTGGTCAGTAAGCCACTGAATGTCTTCACTTACCAGCTCTTTCTCTGCGTTCTCACCCCTTCTAAAG